TGGCAGTGGTGAAATTAAAAAAAAAATTATTACCATTTCTGTGGGCATGACTGGGTGGGCATGGTGTGACTTGGTAGGTGTGGCTTGGTGGGCGTGGCAGGGGAAGGATACTGCAAAATCTCCATTCCTACCCCAATCTGGGGCCAGCCAGAGGTGGCATTTGCTGGTTCTCCAAACTACTCACACTTTCCGCTACCAGTTCTCCAGAACCTGCTGGATTTCACCCCTTCCCTATGGTCCATGATCATCCCTCATGGGACATGGTCTACCTTGCACTGCCTCCTCCTGCCTCCTCCCCCATGGGACATGAGCCGGTTCCGCCCTTCCTCAGCTGCATTGCATTTTCCTGTTATCCAGCTCAGCATTGGCCTTAACCCTCTGTGAGCAATGGCACCTGAGACTGTAGATCAGTTGCCAGATCCGGTGAAGGCAGTTCCTCTTTACCAGCCCGCATAAGTCACCTAAAGTTCTGTAAAGAAGAAAAAAAATGGGAAGCAGGTGTATAAAATATACCAGGTCATAAATAGATGCCATATGAATCATTGGGAACACCGTGGGAAATGCCAAGGCATTTTTTTAGTGGATCCTAATAAAAAAAACCGTGGCACGACAAAACTGCGCTCGTCAAAATAGCGGTGATAAAATCGCGTCGCTAAAGCCGCGACGTCATCACTGCGCGTCATCACCGCCACAACAACAGCGCGGTGAGAGAAGGGCGCTTTAAAACAGCGCGGTGGCAGAAAGAGGATTTAAATTAAGGTAAGGGTTAGGATTAGGTTTAGGGGTTAGGTTTAGGATGCTGAGTGCTTGGGAATGCATGGATTTGCTCTCCGCGATTATGTCATCGCGGTAGGGTCGTGTTTTTCCTTAGCGCTTCGAACGGCGCGAATTAGTCTTCGCACTTATTTCTCCGCGGATAAGGGCTTCGCGGATTTGTGGTGGAACCAAAAAACCTGCCTAGAATGCTCTTGAGTTGCTCAACAGGTGCCATTCCTTCCCTTTGCAGAAATAAATCTTTTACTTGGCTAGTATTTGTCTTTTAGCTTGTATTTTGTTGTAGTATTTTTAACAAAGTGTTTGTTTGTTTCCACGTTCTGCGTGCAGGCCAAGCAGTAAGGAGCTTTCACAATCAGCCATTGATGGGATATCTGTCCTTGGAGGTCAATATCAGGGTACGTTTGCTCTTTGATCCCCATTTGGTTACTTAGCCTCATGCTGAGATTTCTCCAATTTGGTTCATGTAGGTTTAAGGAAACTATTTGGGAAGTCTGGAACTTGGGGACAGAATTATGCTTTGTATGCAGGAGGCCTCTGACTCCGTCTTTGAAATCTCCAAATAAGAGTTGGAAAAGACGTTAATTGAAACCCTGAAGAACCAGCTGAACTTGTAATAGATAATATAGCAATAGCAATAGCACTTAGATTTATTCACCGCTTCGTGGTGCTTTTACAGCCCTCTCTAAGTGGTTTACAGAGTCTGCATATTGCCCCATCAATCTGGGTCCTCATTTTACCCACATCAGAAGGATGGAAGGCTGAGTCAACCTTGAGCCGGTGAGAGTCGAACTGCTGAACTGCAGTTAGCAGTCAGCTGAAGTAGCCTACAGTACTGTAGCCTAACCACTGCACCACCTCGGCTCTGTATAGAGGTCTCACTTAGCCAGCAGCCTGTCTCAATGCAAGCCAGGAATGGAACTTCAAGCATCCTGCAAACGTGTTAACTACAGCTCCCAACATTCCTTAGAATTTATTTTTGGATGGGCTCTTGGGAAATGTAGTTCCACAAAATCTGGATTATTACAGGAGTTTGATTTTGACCAGCTCAAGGTTGACTTAGCCTTCCATCCTTCCAAGGCCAGTAAAATGAGGACTCCCATGGTTGTGGGCAATATGTGGACATTGTAAACTGACCAGAGAGCACTGGGGGACAGTATATAAGGTAAAGGTTCCCCTCGCATGTATGTGCTAGTCATTCCCAACTCTAGGAGGCGGTGCTCATCTCCGTTTCAAAGCCAAATAGCCAGTGCTGTCCAAAGACGTCTCCGTGATCATGTGGCCGGCATGACTAAATGCCAACGATGCACGGAATGCTGTTACCTTCCCACCAAAGCTGATTCCTATTTTTCTACTTGCATTGTTAATGTGCTTTCAAACTGCTAGGTTGGCAGAAGCGGAGACAAGTAACGGGAGCTCACTCCGTTACGCGGCGCTAGGGATTTGAACTGCTGAACCGCTGACCTTTCTGATCGACAAGCTCTGAGCCACTGAGCCACCGTGTCCCTTTACAGCAGTGTTTCTCAACCTTGGCAACTTGAAGATGTCCGGACTTCAACTCCCAGAATTCCCCAGCCAGAGAATGCTGGCTGGGGAATTCTGGGAGTTG